TCTAACGCCAAAGTTTATACCAGAAAGAAAGAGATCCGTAACACAACTGCAAAGTGCTCGATAAAGTCCAGAAAGAGAAAGAGTCCAAAGCTTAACTTGAAAATAAATGAACTTTTGGGTGGAGTTGAGAGATTCCCTTTAAAAATAGTCCCATTTGTTTGTGTTCTAGATGAGGTCTCTTTGTTCCTTGGGTAATGGGTTGTCCCTAAAGAGAGATTTGCTTCGGCCATTTCCTTGTCTATGAAATGAAGAAGGCAAACAAAGCTTTATCAGCCCATCTAAAGTTTATCCTCTGTGCCAGGCACTGTGTGTGCCAGGTACTTTTCACATGTGCTGTCTAGCACAGCCTGGCTTAGAAAAGTTGTTTGCTGAAAGTCACACAGCCTGTAAAAAGTAGATTCGAAGGGTGCGGTGACGTGGGGTGGGTAACACCACTCTAAACCATACCCCCTCACTTCGCCCCCTGCTGCCCTGCAAACCATTCTCATGCTTCCAAAACCTGGTTTCTGAGAAGGAGAGGAGGACCTCCCCTATCAGTGGACTTGGGGAGGGGCATGCATGCCGAAAGGGGGGGAGGGTGGGACCAGGAGGGGAGGAGGGAGGGGCTTATGGGGGGATACAAAATGAATAAAGTGTAATTAATAAAAGTTAAAAAAAAGAAAACCTGGTTTCTGAAGCACAGAACCTCAACGTCACTCTCACCTGCCTCTACCCCTTCTGCAGTTTGCTCTTGTCCTCAGGGTGAAGCGCAGACAAGTTCAGAGCCCATGCGCATACAGGCACGCAGGCACACACGCACGGGCATGCTGACCTTCTGTTTTTGCCTGTCCTCCCTGTTTCCCAACTCTGCTCCGGCCTCACCTCCCAATTGGGAGCTTTTGTGGGTCGCTTCCTTCCAAGAAGCCCCTCCCTGACACCCTTGCTCCTGTCCCAGGTAAAGTTCCTGTTCTGAGGACCCACAGTACCCTTAAACCGACTCCTCTAGCGATGATGCTGCGGGTCCTGATTCTGTTCCACACTGCCTTCCTCTTTCTCCCTGCCTGGCCCCTCCTTTCCTGTCCTGAGAGGCACACGCTTGGATGTCACTGACTGTATCTATGAGGAGGGGGGTCCTTTTTGCTGCTTCTGTTTCTCATATAGTTCAAAAAGAGCCTAATCAGTGCTAGGCTGCCTTCCACACTTTGTTATGTGTTAATTTTTTGAGCTTCTGAGCAATGAAAGGTCCTGAGCCTGGATTTGGCGCATTGTTTTTCTCATATTTGTTACTATTTATGGAATTCTGTTGCCAACAAAGCAATACAACTCTGTGTGTGTCCATGTGTATGTGTATGTGTGTTTACACAAGTTACCCATTACAGAATTGATTTATATAAGCAAAGGAAATGAAAAGGGAGAGGAAAGAAGGGCCAGCCGAAGTACCCAAACCAAGCAGGTATAAATAGCTTGACAAATGGCTCTTCTAGTGTTGCACGTAGGATAAACACAGGCTTAAGTACATGTGCATACAGTTACGTGTTGTGAAGGGGCCCCTGAATGGCACCAGTCCCCATCATTTCCCAACTAAGTCCTTGCATCAGAAGTCGTGGGGCACTGCTCTGTGTGCCACTACCTGTGAGCCTGGGGAAAAAAATACGTTCTGTTTCTTAGTTTACTCGCCTGTAGAAAGCAGAATAAAATCAGAGTATATAAAGATCTGGTCTCATCCCACAGATGCCATCTCCAAACCTGCTCATCCAGGAAAATGACAGCAACCTACAGAAAGGCTCTGTCAGGGGCACTGACCTCAGAGGTCAGAGATGCGGAGTCTTTCTGCAGTTAACATCAAGTCAAAGTTTCCCATTCCAGGCGATCTGTTCCATTTTTCTCCTTTCACTCCTGCATATCCTCTCCCCAAAGAAACTCCTGACAAATGAGTTACATTATATTCACTTAGCACAAGCACATATATGTACTGTGTATGTAGGTAGGTATGAATATACACAGGTGACGTATGAATGTCTGGATCAAGATTCTTGAACAGACATAGAAAAGTACAAGAGTGGTAGTTTATTCTAGAATGCTAGCCCTACTGGACAGGAAAGTGTTGCCCCTGAAAGCAGTACAGCCACTGTGATCAGAGATGAGGAGCTGGAGTCAGGCAGCTCACAGAAGTTCTGGGAGGTTAGCAAGGATAACAAGGTACCTAAACCATGGCTATGAAATATGCAGGTCAAGCCTGCTTCCTTCCAACACCCGTTGATAATGGAAAAAAATAAAGTAAAAGAAGATCAACAGAATTCCAAACGAAAAACTACCTATACTGTTTATGGTGTCACACATGCGCACATTTAACAGCTGCGTAACAGGTGACTTACACAATGTTTGGGTTCTTTAAAAACTGGCCTCACCCTTGCCTCTGGAAATATAGTGATCAATTATATCAGACCTCGTTACAGGCAAATTTACCAGCTTTACAGATAAATCAAAATGCACAGTTAGAAAACTTTGGCCAAAACTTAAATGAAATATAAAACCAGTATAATGTCCTTCATGTCCTCATGCCTGTGTACACGTGCACAAATGCATACATATATGCATACACAGAAGATGTACACTTGAAACAACTGAGAAGAATCTGATGGGACGAAAGTGCATTTAAAAAACGCCCAGTTCCATTCGCATCATTACAAAGCTTGATGTGGAGAACAGAATATGGCTGCTGAGAGGACAAATCTTAGTAAGGCTTAAACTGAAAATCAAATTGTACTCATTACAGTAACACACCTTTCCAGTCTCCATCCCTCCCAACCAACATCAAAAGCCTGAGCAGTCCTGGAACAGCATCAGCTCTGAGCAGTGGATGATGATGGCCTGTCAGGAAGAAATGGGAGAGACTGTAACCTGAGTCAGATGGGGAATGGCTGTGGCGTGGCTCCCAGGCCAGGAGAACCTTCTTCAAATATAAGATGTGTAACTGCTCTGGAACGCATGTGCCCTGACCATCCCTCAGGAATGTTTTTGCAAGGACTCTACATGCGAGATGAGACCAGCTAGCCTCAACCACAACATTCCTCCCAGCGTAGGGATATTTACAACTTCTAGTGGGAGCAGAACTGCATCTATTTTACACGGGAGTGGATTGAATCGTTCCATTTCCTTTCTGGGGAAGAGTACTCTAGAGGAGAAAACAGCTGAAAAGGATTGAGTCCCTTGGAGGAAAAAAAAATGGTGATGTATCTATAACCTTGGTGACTAGATATAATGTTGTCTCAATACACCATCCCTCCCCACCCCACCACACAGACAATTTACAGTCACCCTCAACAGTCTAGACACAAAAGGAATGTGGTTGCGTTAGTCAAATCTAAGTGGCTATGTGCAGGTTAAGAGGATGATGGCCCGATCTCACCCGTGTTACACTGCTTAGAGCAGGTGTGAACCTCCTGTCTCATGATCCCTGGAGTTGCTCTCTCAAAATGCATGCTCTTAGAACATGTGGCTCACTAAAGCCAGAATGAGGAGGAGCAGGAACCAAAAGTTCATGGTCAGCTTGCTCACCACCGGGCGATTGGCAGGCACGCTGCCTGAGAAGCCCCATCCTGGAACAGCATTCCTCACACTTTAGTATGCTCTTGAATGGCCGGGGGCATTTGTGAGAGGTCAGGGGCTGGGCTCCAGAGGTTTCCACTCAGAAGTCTCAGGTACAGACCCAGAATTTGTGCTTCAGCTTGTCAATCATCTGACGCTGAATGTAGTTTGAGCTCGCTGCTAGTCCCATTAACAAAGAACTCAGTTACAACGGTAAGCAATTTCAGAATAATCTCAGTGATCTCTCCCCTCCTGACTTCTGTGACCTTGACAGACACCCAGCCCTCTTTTGTCAGCTGATCCTCTCTGAGGAGCATCTCAAATTATTGCTATGCCGTAAGGGGCCCTGGCAGATGCTGTCTCACAATGGGCCCAAATACGCAAAACAAATGGGTACCATTTCTCAGCTTGATTACAGTCTCTCTTGCTTGATCTCTCTTTTGCCCCCCTGCCTTTCTCATTCTCTTGACAGGAGCTATCATATGGTGGCCTGGCCTACATGGCACCAGCTGTGGCTAGCTTCTAGAGAACTGCCAGCAGCAACCAATCCAACTCCTGCCAGCAACCATGTGAACCAGTTGGAAGCAGTTTCTTTTCCAGTTGAGCCCAAGGTGCCTCCTCCCCAAGCCAACACCTTGACTGAAATCTTGTAAGACATCTTGAGCCAGAAGACCCAGCAAGGTCATGCTTGGATTACAGCCCTGCAAACATCATGAGATAGATAATCAATGTTTTGAGACACTCTGTGTGGTACGTGGTTACAGACAACTCACAGAGGTCTTTTGTAATGAAGCCACTCTCAAGTAATAAGGTAACAGTGGCATTTAATCCATTCTTCAAGCCATCTGATCTCTGCCCCTGCCCACCCATTATGAAAGAGACAAAAGGTGTAGATAAATGAAATTGTAGTGCTCATTTTTAAAACTCTACTTTATTTGGGGTGTTTAGGCCTCAACCTCCCTTCCAACTTCCCAACCCTTTGTAGGGGAGAGAAGGTTAGTGGGGAAAGAGGCCCCTTTACTTCTCCTGGCTGTTTAGGGTCTATGGGTCTTTTGGGGTTATACCAATCTCCATCAACAGCAGATGCGGCCAGCAGTCTCATCCAAACTACTGTCTACTCTAAACCCCCACACTGTCTGTCTCTGGTCAATTCAAACAGCTACATGCCACATGCCAACACCACACACAATGTCACACCTTCTCTGGGCTCTATTTATATCCTCGGAGTCCTAGAACACGCCTCTCCCCCATGCTGCACATGGAAGGCCCATTACCAGCTGGTGAGAGCCACATTCTGCATGAGACAGTTAACAGCTGTGGACAAACTGTAGCCCAACTAAAATCCCACACTTGGGATTAAAACAAAAATATATTTACATAACATAACTGAGTTTACAAAGAAACCAAAACTTCCATTACAGTAAATAGCCAGTATTTAATGATATACAGTATTTACACGTAATGTATGGCATAATTCTCAAGCCTTAGCCCTGGGTAAGCTTCATTGGAGGTTCTGGGAGGTCATACAGTAACCATGCATTCAGGTAGAATGGAGAACATGGATCCCAGTTGGACCTCTGTGCATCCCACCCGAGTGTTCTGAGGCTGTGTCTCCTGAGCAAGAACCACGCAGAATTCTGTGCCAGCAGTCCCCATGAGCACCAAGTGCCGACTCCTTTGGTTTTGAAGAAAGTGAGAAAGAAACAATGGGTCCCTCCGCTGCCCTGGAGGGTCTTTCCCTGAGAACACCGTTAAGGACATCAGGGCAGGCTGCTCACCCTTTCCCCAGCGCCGTGCCTGCTTTCCTCACTTTCTCCGGAGCTGGGTTGAGAGAAGGCATTTCAGAGTTGTGTGTGGAGGAAGGCGTCACAATGACCTGGACCAAGCTCCCGAGGCAAAGCGTAAAGCCAGAATGCTCCTCACATAGCCCCTCTCCTTATGGCCAGTGCTCTTCTCCATAAAATGGGGTGATAACTTGAACCCTCCCAGTTCCAGATCTAAGAACGTGGGGCAGGAAGGCAGCACGTAGCCATGGCAACATGGTAAGAAAGAAAAAGGGTTTCTTCAGAGGGCCAGGCTCCCACCACTGAGCCACCGTGCCCTCTCTGACGAGCACCCCAAGGGATTGCTGTGCCACAAGGGACTCTGGCAGATGTTGTCCAGCCTGATCTTAATGGTGTCTTGGAGCTCCTCATCACCCAGAAAGACCGCAGCTGCTAGAGCCAGCAGAAAGTATTCAGTAGCATCGTGGGCATCCTAACCCCATGGGGCAAAGAAGAGACATCATTAGCAGCACTTCCGGGACAGGCTTGAAGTCTACACTGAGAACATTTTTCAGTTACTCCATCCCCACATCCCATGGCCTCAGAGGAGTTCTCCCCTCACTTCACTCTAGCTCAGTGGCATTGCCAATCACACTGCCCTCCTCCTCAGGCACCGCTGAGGCATTTTTCCCATGTCATCCATTCATAACACAACCTTGAACCAGACGCAGCATTTCAAGGGTATACACATGACTCAAACGTGACCTGTCCATCCCTCTCTGGGACTTTTCAGTGTGACCCTACAAGGAAAGCAGTCTGTGTGCTTTCGGTTATGGGATCAGCCTCCCAGGGGCTGGCAAGGAATGAGGACAAGAAACACAGAGCAGTAGGAATATACAGGCAGGAAAGAGATGGGAGGAATCCTGGAAGCTGATGGAGGAACGGGATCCAGAAATACATGGAACGAAGTCCATACCTCGGTTTCCAGTTCCTTGAGTTAGTAGACTGCCTGTTCTGCTTACAGTTATTTGAGGTTTTCCTTTTGTGGTGCCTGGAGTCCTTGGATGATACAACCCAACCAGGCATTCTCTGCCCCCGAGCCACTTCCTATGGCACTAACAGCTGGATGATTAAGTGGCCCTTCACCTTGCCTGTCCCTCTCTACACAGAAGGATGAGAAACACACTCTTCTTCGGGCAGGATGCAATAAGAGACGCCTGGTTCTCATTATCCCGCATAATTATTTCAGGCCAGAAATAGTCTGACCAGTAAGAAAAGGTCAGCAGAGCTGCCCTGAGTCTCCATTTGTGGTCAGAGTTAGACAAGACTCACACTCAAGTCACTGTATTAAAGATTGTGGGTTGTGCTGGGGTGACAAGGACCTTTGGAAGGAGAAGCCAAACTCGAGGACACAATTTCGGGGTCAGAGTTGTAAGAGGATTGCAGGCTACTAACTCAGTTATAGAGGCCACTGGGAGTTCTAGACTGGACTCCAGCCCAGAAAAGAAGAGAATCAAAACAAGAACCTTCTTAGGGCTTAAATATCCTTATATCCATGGTGCCATACATGATTATCTCAAACATACTCATGTGAGTGCATTTCTTATATAATGTAATTTCCTAAAACTTTATCAGAAATGTGGGCTGGAGAAATGACTCCACGGTTAAGAGAACTGTCTGCTCTTCCAAAGGACCTGGGCTCAATTCCCAGCACCTGCATGGCAGTTCATAACTGTCTGTAGCTCCAGTTCCAAGGGATCTGATACCTGCATACATAAAATAAAACTAAATAAAATTTTTTTTTAAAAAAAAGAGCTGAGTGCAATGGTATATGCCTGTAATCCCAGCACTCAGAGAGGCAGAGGCAGGTGGATCACTGTGAGTTCAAGGCCAGCCTGATCTATACAGCGAGTCCAGGAGAGCCAAGGCTATGCAGAGAAACCCTGTCTTGAAAATACAAAAGAGAAAGAGAGAAAGAGAGAGAGAGAGAGAAGAAAGAAAGAAAGAAAGAAAGAAAGAAAGAAAGAAAGAAAGAAAGAAAGAAAGA